TTATTGTTTAATTTTGCATAAAATGGTTGAACTGCCGTCTTATTACTATCACATGGCCGAATAGACTTACAATGTACCATGTACTCTTGTGATATGGTATAATAAATTAATTTTTATGCTTGAAACATTTCGAACAAATTAAAATCATGAATAAAAATACTTCGCTAATAAATGAAGTCTTGTTCATCCGCCGCCGTACAGCGCCAATGCATCTGGCTATTGTTTTTTTCTTTTGAAACACTTTAGTTTTGCCATTCTACGTTTTACTTTTTGCCTTACGACTTTACTTTTCATACTGTGGATTTACCGACGATATTTGTGTGTGTACTTAAATGATTTTTTTTTATAAAACAAAAAATAGTACAAAAGTCACTCTCCATTTCAAGGAAAACACGTAGAAAAACAAGTATTTAGCCACTAAAAACAAAAATTGTTCCGTTTGCACCTGATGTTTGATATCAGCTAAACTTAATCAGGTCTAAACAAATAAAAAAAGCATTAAAAAAACATTATTTTTACACATGCCTGATGGCACAAAAGGCGTATCATCAACTTCTATGGCGCTTGATACTACAGGAGTGTTACTAAATATTTGTTCGCCACCACAGCTAAAAGTTATCGAAAATCAGTTAATATATCAAAAATCCACTGTTGAACTTAAGCCTTTTCCGTAGATTGCTTCAAAGGGAGGATATTTGCGATAGTTCCTTCCCTTAGCAAGTCGAATTGAATACCTCCTCCTTTTTGAAGTCGGTAAAATAATAAATATACGCACATATACATATATATAATAAAATGAATATTTGCGCCAATTTAACAGTGGTAAAGCCAGGCGGCAGCTTTTGCTGTTGCACGTATGGGCCGGCTCGAGCCGGGCTGCTTCTGCGTTTTGTCTGGTGAGTACAAGTGGCAGGAGGCCGTTGCCCCCCCTCCCACCATCAACATGGTAGCGGAATTAAACGAAAGACTACCCCAGGAGAGTACTAGCACCCCTGAAGAATCCCTCGCTGAGCATTCACGACCAAGCTACTCCACTCCTGAGCGTGAGTGCTCAGGCTGCCCCGCGTTCTGGGGGGGGGGGGGGTTCCGCTCGCGACTAATACTGCTCGGGGCAAACTAAACTGAGCAACAAGACCAAGGCGACCCCTGCCACGTTATTCATGAATTTCTGCAACATCAGGGGACTTAACGCGAAGCTAAACAAGGTCCACTACCATCTCGAAACGATGAAGCCGACCTTGCTTTCTTACTGAGACGCAGATGTCCTCTCCGGCTGATGTGCCTCTGGCTGGAGTTTGCGTATACGTCATAGAGGATCGACCTGTTTTCGACGACTCGGCAGTCTTGAAGGTTTGGATCTGTCCATTCTTTGGCGTCTACGTCTACAGGTGCCTCTATGGGCTATTTCGGCATAATGCCGAAACAGAAAGACTCATCGACCACATCCAAATGGCTACAGATTCTTTGCTACAACATGTTCCATCCGCAGAGATCGTGATCCTTGGCGAGTTTAACGCCCATCACATCGAATGGCTCGCTTCATGTTTAACCGATCATGCGGGGATATCTGTTCATGATTTTGCCTTGGCATATGGTCTGACACAACTGGTTACTACGCCTACGCGGATTCCAGTTGTGGAGGATCATCCACCTTCCCTGTTGGACCTTCTGCTGACCTCTGAGCCGGACAGATATCAGGTCTCCGTTGATGCCCCTCTTGGCTCCGTAGACCATTGTCTAGTCCAGAGTGTGGTGCCACTCACGCTGAAATCGCGGTTGCTTTCTGCAGGCTGCCGCTGTGTTTGGCACTATAGGTCGGCCGATTGGGATGGGATGCGGTCTTTCTTTGCATCGTGGTCTCTAAAAAACTTGACGTGCTCAGCAGAGCGGGACAGTATTTCATGCCGGCACACCGCCTGCAACTTTACAAGGCGCATGTTCGGCCTCACATGGAATATTGTTCCCATCTATGGGCTGGGGCTCCCCAGTGCCAGCTCATTCCACTTGATTGCATCCAGCGCAGAGCACCTCGAATCGTCGACAACCGAGTCCTTACCGATCGGCTCGATTCACTGGCGCTGCGGAGAGATGTTGCATCCCTTTGCATTTTCTTTAACGTTTACCACGGGGAGTGCTCTGAGGAATTGTTCGGATTAATCCCAACCGCCAAATTTCACGAACGCACATTGCGGCAGAACTCCCGATACCATCCACACCATTGGGATGTTTGGCGCTCCACCACTGTACGTTTCACTTGGAGTTTACTTCTGCGTACGACCTCTCTTCCGCGATTTTTGCGGACCGATAGGACTTAGAGACCTTCAAGAAAAGAGCTTACTCCTTTTTAAAAGGTCGGCAACGCACCTGTAATTCCCTTAGTGTTGCGGTTGTGCATGGGCGGTGGTAGTCACTTACCATCAGGTGAGCCGTATGCTCGTTTGCCTAACTAAACCAAAACTAGTATATCCATATCGACTGATGCTAACATTGAGAACGAAATCACTGTAGATTAAAGACGTTATGTCTTGTGACACATAATACTGCTACTAAAGGGATGTTTTTCTACCCACTTCAAAAAGAAGATGGTACTCAATTCGAATGTGTCTTTTTTTATTTGAAAGCTGGTGTTTCACATGTGGTCCCATATAAATTAGATCAAGGTCTCGCCAATAGTTTTTGAGTTATTCTTAACAATTTATATTGAAGTCGGTTATGCAATTTTTTTATTATTTTTATGTGAATCAGAACTTTTTTCTGGGTGAACCGAATTCATTAACTCATTTTTTATTTGAAAGCTGCTGTTTCACATGTGGTTTCATATAAATTTGATCAAGGTCTGGGTAACAGTTTTTGCGTTATTCTTAACAATTTATATTGAAGTCGGTTGTACAATTTTTTTTATTATTTCTATGTGTGTTACCTCATAACTTTTTTCTGGGTGAACAGATTTCGATAACTCTTTTTTTATTTGAAAGCTAGTGCTTCTTATGTCAAATTATATGGTGCCCATATAAATTTGATCAAAGTCTGACCAATAGTTTTTGAGTTATTTTTAATAATTTATATTGAAGTAGATTATACAAAGATTTTAATTATTTTCTAGTAAATCAGATGCATCCAGTGTTCTTTTCTCATATTTGGCATAATAGAAAGAGACCAAAGATGACCACTTGCACAGTATTAGTATATATTATATATATATATATATATATATATATATATATATATATATATATATATATATATATATATTATAATATACTGATATATTCTTTGAAATTGTTGGTGCATTTAATAACGTTAATCTTCATATACTCGCCGCAGAGTTGAGGTCTTTGAGCATTCCTGAAAAAATTGTAAAATGGATATTTAACTTTTTACATGAAAGAAGAGTTTTTGCTAAAGTTAATAAAAATAATACAATTATTGGTCCTAGGCTCAGTTATAAAGGTGTTTGTCAAGGAGGAATATTAAGTCCTCTTGTCTTTATTTTATACATATTTAAATTAAATAATATTTTAGGATCAAATGTTACTAATTTACAATATGCAGATGATTTGGTCAAATGTCAAAAACTTGGTAACCGTTTTAAATAAGGCTAAAGAAATTGCATATTTACTTTTCACACTTAAATTTAGATATTAGTACTGAGAAAAGTAAAGTTGTTATTTTTAATAAAATCCGTCCATTTAACACTAGAATGATTTATAATAATACATTTTTACCAATAGAAAGTTGTGCAAAATTCTTAGGTGTAATTTTTACAAATAATTTGTCTTGGTCCAAATACGTGATATGAAATACGAAATATGAAATATGGTATCACTGTTTTTGAAAATTGGATTGACAAATCTACATGGATTGAAACTTACAAAGATTATAATATAAAGAAGACTTGGCTTTAGCCTTTACGGTTTTTGAAAATATGAAGAATTAAATAAAATAAGACTTGGCTTCGGACTTTATGGATTTGGAAGAGATGGAAAGAAGAAAAATAAGACTTGGTTCCGGCCTTTACACTTTAAAATTCTATATATTCAAAATAAATAAGACAAGGCTGTATGGCTTAGTTCCTTTGCCTGCTCTCTCGAGCGAAAATAAAAAACAACAACCATAGTCATTTTGTACAAGAAGGAGGCATGTCAATGTCATGAAGTTATAGATAAAGATGGAGACCACACTCCGAATACCTACTTGAAGCTCAACCTATGTATTACTATCTCGCTCTCTGTGGGCAGACCTTCTCTTTCTAAGTATTACCTACTTTATTACTACTACTACTACTATATATCCTACCTTTATTTTATTTTTCCCAGGATATCACTATAAGTAGTTACATTACATTACGTGGTTTATTTATAAATATTTACATCTGTGTTTACTACTAAGACCTAGCCTATATAGATTATATATATTTGTACATTTTTTTTGGTAAATTGGTTTTATGAAGAAAGGTTTTCATTTCCGTGGGCAGAACCGGTATCTAAAATTTGACCACGCATTTCCGTTACAACCCATATAATGTCGAGCCTATTTAGAAAATGTGGAAAATAAATATATCAGAAAATATTTTATTACTACCATTTCGATAATGTATTTTCTGGTTATTGTATACAATACCTGAACGGTACCAACGTAATATAAAATTAATTTATTATAACACCCCGAGTGATCAATGAATTGGGCAAAATATACCTGATTTATTGTTCAGACAGACTAAATCTATTTCTGGACAATTATTTTAGAAAAATATCACGAAGACTAAAGGACCGTAGTGGAGCTCCTGCCTTAGCCTTCTGACCTAACCCATCCGAGTCAGGCTGCTCTGATCTGAAATGTGTATAATACTATATTCCACACACCCTGTTCATTTTACGAATTATCTACAATTCCTTGGAATTCTATATAATAACGGATTTCATAGATTTCTAGTAACATATGTACTATAATAGGAACGATAATATATAAAAAAAAACTTAAAAAATAAATAAAAATACTTTCCATATTAAAATTATTTATTGAAATTTTACACATCAGATGGATAACTCTGTGGCTTTTTGAAGTCCTTACAGATATCAGCAAAGCATCCTTGAATAAATATTTTCAATTTCTGACTGACGCGTATACTTTTTAATAGTTGCCATTAAAGAAGACCTATCCTGAATTTTTTTAGTTTGGCGCGCCACTTTTTGTTTAAGAATCTTAGTTTTCGTCTCAAGTATTTCTTCTTTAGTACACTTTATTTTCACTTGCACGTCGTCGTATTCACTGCTGACCTAAAAAACAAGAAAACTTTATGAAATCAGTATTTTTAGCATCGTACATAGTATTGCTCCACTCATTAGGGTCGTAGCGTGATGTTAGACAGCCTTCCTGAGGAATTGGTTTTAAAAATGCAAAAAATATTTTCAAATCTGACTGGTATGGTTCCAGAGATTAGAGATATATCAAAATAAAAAGAAACAAATAACTCTTAATGTCACAACGTCATAATGTCAGTACAAATTTATATCACTTAATAGGTAGCACATAATACACCGGAGCGCGACTTCGTGAGCACACATAAATGAAGCATCAAACAAGAAGCTTCATGCTTAGTGTCGTAGTGACGGTTACCACACTGCGACTGGCATTAAAGAGTTTAAATATGTATGTGTTTTAAGCTATATAATACATTATGTAATGTAATATTAAAGTCATAATAAATACAAATATAAGTTATATATTTAGTAATAAAGGAAAAGGAAACTTACAGGTAACTTGTTCAGGTTGCATAAATTTTCAAAAAGTTTTCGACATTGTTTTTTACTAGTTTGATCTTCAATATTACAGCCAGTACATTTCATTCTTGTTTCCTTAAGTGCAGAACTACTTTCATTAATTCCAGAACTAGTGCTTGGTACAGCTACAGCCAGAGCAGCCATTTGCACAATAGACTCTTCATGTCATGCACTTGTTGTCTGCAAATGATAACATATTTTACAAAATGTTGCTTTATATCATACATTTAAACTACTACATTTCTAAATACATAATATATTACGAAAAATAGATAATTAAATTATATTAAATTTTTACCTTGCCTGGTGATACTGTTTCTTGATTTCTTATAACAGTAGGAACTGCTGTTGGTTTTAAGCACCTTGTTGTTGAATCATAATCTGATTCTTGAAAATGCAAATCCTTGCACTTTCATAATACTTCATTTTCAATGGTACAATGGATAACAACAAATTTCTCCGAGTACTGTTTTAGGAAATCTAAAAAAAATATTCGTAATTAATGTAAACGTTATTAAAGTATTAGAATAATGAGAAAGAAAAACTAAGTAAACATAAATTGTCTGCCAAAAGAATATATTGTGTTACTAATTTTTAACTTAATATTATGAAATCTATGAAATCCGTCATTATATAGAATACATAGGAATTGTACACAATTCCTAAATTTCATGCATTTCCGGTAACATAATAAGAAACATGTACATATAATTAGTTAAGGTCACACGGAAAGTCTCAGATACATCGTCAATATGGTCACACTACTTCAGTGCGATTTCTTTTAAACAAACACAATAAGATTGTTCAAAGTCAATTAAATTCAATGTAAAACTATCTGATTTTGACAAAGTTATAATTTACTAATATGTTTAAAACACTGATAAAACGTTTCAGCAAAAAATTAAGTGAAAATACAAAGAAGTATGTTTACAAGTATTCAATGCCAGAAGTCACTATTTAAACACTTAAGTGTGAAATCTTATATCACTTCCTGGACATCAACTACTGCCGCATGCCGCAACCACGTAATACACTAGTTTGCACAATTTCTTGAATTATAACAATAATTATCTTTAAATATCTCAAACGACGCTGTGAACTATTAAGTAAACAACCGCCATATTTGTCTAATTTATGTTGACATATATGGCTAATGTTGCCACATTACCGAACCCTTAGAAAATGGGATTGTAATTCACTGATTCGTTAACCCAATAATGCATACGAGACCTTCAATTTTGGAATTTTTAATGTAACTAATCGTAGATCAACTATTTATTTATTGGTACATTATTTTACAAAGCTTAACTTCTGATTTAGTTAGTGTGGAAATTATTTCTAAGAATTTACCGGGAGATTCAAATAAAAACATAGCAATATTGTGTTCCACACTAAAAAGAGAAGTCAGACCACAGAGAGTGAGATAAAGATACGTAGGTATTTGACTCAAGCTGTTTTTCCAAGTGTGGCCTCCATCTTTATCTATAACTTCATGGTCAATGTCAAAGGGGAAGTTTTGGCGGGAACTTGACCGGCGACGGTTTGCTGCTCCTGTATTATAGTTTAAATAATAGTTTGAAGTGGATTTTGATATGTAAAGTGGTGCGATTTTATGTATTAACCGTATGCGCATGTGAACTATTAGTGGAAAAGGTGAAACAAACAAACAAACAAACAAGTGCTCTGATGGTGATGGATTCTCAAAATAAGCTGTTTGTCTACATAGGCGCCTTTAGATACCATCGCCAACTGTCCGCTGTCTGCTGGCTCCAGTTGTCGTCAAAATCTCCCAAGGGCTGCACAATGTGACGCATCAACATATTGTGAAGCAATGAACTATGAAGGATAATTATACAAAAAAGACAAGGCTGTATGTCTTGGTTCCTTTGCCTGCTGTCTCGGGCGAATAATAAAAACAACAACAACAAAATGTCAAATTTCCAAATATTTCTTTTCCGCATTCCTTGAACAAATAAAAAAAAATTAAGCTTTTTGTCGTGGTGTTGTGAAAACATTCTAAAATAATGAGTAAAGCAAAAGTTGCTGTTCGTGATATTTCACCGCTTATGCAAGCGTTAAGAAATTTTCTTTTAGGAGTACGTAGAATATTATACAATTGAATTATGTAACTAATCAAATTAAATATGATTTATTGCTTATCGAATTTCTTAAATTCAAAATTTTTTGTAGAGAAATCATACGAAAGCATTACGATTCGAGCCGTTTTTATCTGCTAGAACTCAACCACCACCAGAAATTCCTGATGGACCAACACACAAGTTAGTATAGTTGTAACAATACAACCAATAATAATGAATGGTGAGAAATTGTGTTATAAGATAATTAATAGAATCAGGCGTTACTTTGCGGAAATCCATTATATAAAAGCTTTTAGAAAAGTTTACTTCGCAAATATCCGTGTTATAAAATAAAATGATGTGTCTTACCTAGTATGAAGAGCACCTCCCGCCCTCCCTCAATTGCGTGCACTATCCCCGTCACCACTAATCTCAGCACCATCCCCGTAAACAGATTACATCTTTCCCATAATAATATATGGCATTTTTCCTTGCTGAGTGAGAGTGAGGATCTTAATTACGTCACAAGACTCAATTTTCTCCATTTTTAGTGTTCAATTCCCGATTGACTTGTTTACTGTGTGGTCTCAAAGTTTAATGAACTGATCTGGCTGCAACTTTGTATTTATTTATTGAGTCACCAAGTAGTTACTGTTAAATATATAATGTATTATATTGTTAAATAATGAATTCCCCCTCCTCTCGTACATCTTACACAGTTGTACTTTTGTTTCTTTGCTATAGAATTATTAATAATTACTTGAATATATTACCTTTCAGGCATGCTCACAATTATTATTACACACATGATGCACGCAGAGAAGTGAAACCACCACTAGATCTAACACAGCAGTTGCTAACTGATGGTGCAGAAAAAGGGTAGGTTCTTTCCTATATTTATTTATTTGGTGCAGTAAAAGGGTAGGTACCTACTTTGCTATATTTATTTACACTTTCATGTACAAAGTAGTACATATGGCGGACTTAATGCCATAAGGCATTCCCCCAGTCGACCATTAGGCTAAACAGAGACAGACATATAAGAGGCGGTGCAGCATTAATCAAAATAGAAAGGGTTAAAAAAATTATACAAATAAAATACATATAATATGTACATATATAAAAATATATGTATATACCAATTGACTTTTTTACAGTGGGTGAAAAATAGTATAATAGTTGAATGACGTAGAAGCCTATGGCATAGTTATATTTTTTATAAGTAAACTTTGATGTTGTGGCAACATGAAAATATTCATCCTATTGCCCACTGTGGGTGTTGTGTTGTGATTGTAAGTGACAACTATGAGAAATGAAACAACAAATTAACAGTAGAGTCTTCCTGACAACAACTCAAAATAATCAAAATCTTTGGTTTCTGCCCCACCTGCCAAGCATAGCAACTATGGCAAATAAGGCAGTCTATAGGGGCCTATGTCCAGCAAAGGACTTTTGATAAGTACAAACTTGAGATTGAACTGATGAATATATGAATTAAGGAAACAAAAAAATAAATAAAGTAATTAAAAATATGGACATTCTAATCATATGCAGGGTTCCTTTAAAATGTCATACTTTATGCATGGTCACGTGAGTAAAGAAACCATGCGATACAGAGGCAAAGCTTCATACAACCGCGCTGTAATAGGTACACTACAACAAGCGGACAAGCTTGAGGCGCGTGTGTGTGAGCACTGGCGGCTCGTCACGTACAGAGAGAAACTGCTTTAAACGCGATTAAACCTTGAGCCGACGCCACACAGCATAGTTATAGCAAAATTTCCACAGTGATGAGAACTTAAATTTTAAATAATTAATTGAATAAGTGTAAGGGATTAACGTCTGTAAAAATGACGAAAAACATGAAATACAGGTAAGAAAATTAACAAACGCTAATCATTTACTCACTAAGAGAAGACCAAGAACTTCTAAAACTATGTCTAGATTTGATAAGTTATTAAAATTACATATCATAAGTACCTATACATAAATATATAAGTATTGTTGGCGACGCGCTTAAAAAATAGTTTATCTGCCAGTGCTCAAACTCAGGGTTGAGTAAAAAATAATAAGTGTCAAATTTTGTTTTTTAAAGAATAATTTGTATCAAACGAAATATAAAAAAAGTGTAAATATGGTTTAGTAATACCTACGTAGATTTAAATTTTATCGAGCTTTGCGCAAGAGATACCGCTCATTTTGTAAATAAAATTAATATTTTGTTTAATTTCTTACACTCAAGTACACCGCGATCTCCTAATAAATATAAAAGAGCTTTTCGATGCGATAGTTATCAAATTGAGTTTTTAGAAGAAATGTTAACATTTTTCAGGAACTTAACAATCAATAAGAAGTGATTGGTAGAAAGACGTTACAAATAGCATGAATTTCGTTCACGGATTCCAAGTGATTATAACATCTTTAATAAAACTACAAAAAAATCAGAAGAAATTAAATTAATTTATATTTAAGAGACGTCTCAATCGAGATTGTCTTGAAAATTTCTTTGGAAAAGTCAGACAGGCAAGTGGTAACTGCCAGGAACCATTGCCTTCAATTAGATGTTTATAACCAATATCTTAGGGAAACCTCAAAATACTAGTTATGAATACGATTTCGTTACTTATGAAACCAGACGATTGTCTTATTTTAATTCAACATCACCGCAACCTAACGATGTTACTGTCCCTGTGTTAACAGTAGGAATAAATTATTGTCTATTTGATTTACCTGAAAAAATAATGGTTTAGTCTGTTGTGGTTAAAAATGGTTTAGAAAATGTCTTGAACAAATGTAAGAAAATGAAACTGTACGTTAATAGATCTGAACAACCTGTAAATATGGGGAAAAAAACTTTATTTCAGTAACATAATTCGTACAGTTTTAACCGTGTCCGGAATCTCCTTTTAAGTAAAAAAGATACCTGTGTTACGAGATTCTGCTCTTCCATAACAAGTCACTTCCACAAAGTTTGTGTGTGTGTGTGTGTGTGCGTAAGTGAGTGAGTGGGTGTGTGTATATAAATATGCCACTATCTTAACTAGAGCTTATCGCTGCTGTGAAAAGAGCTTTAGTATAATCATAACAGAGATATGATGATACATAACAGAGAAAATATTATTTTTTCAGCCATTACAAGGACTTTAATAAAGATAGTATTTTTTTAATACTTCCTGACAATTTTATAGCGTTTGTTGAATTGCTTGAGCAAATTTTTCCCGAATATTTTGGTACCTCGAAAAAACATTGTAAATATTGGTAGTGAAATAAGAGTTTATTTGTTATGAAGTGAGTGCTTTTCAATAGATTATTTAAAAAAAAACTACATTAAATTTAGAATTTACCGTTTAATTAAAAGCCACAACAAATTGTTGAAGAACAATAATTATAAAAGTAAAATTTTTAGAATTTGTAAAAAATATTATATCTTAAGCATCTATTAAAATGCTGATAAACGTTTTATTTATTTAATTTTATTCTCCTGTGCCAACCCTACCAAAATAGGTAAAAAATTTTGACAGCACCGAAGCTTTGTCTCTGTACAGTTTCTTTATTCATGTGGCATGGTGTAATAATGGATGAATCTGTGACACCCTTGACCTTGACACAGCCGCTCATTAACTTGCTCAAATTAGTAGTATTTATTAATCAATCAGTAGATCAATAGAAAAAGATCAATTTCATATGTCAATAAAAATTTAAATTATAAATATCTATGTACCTGTGATAGTATATATATACGCTTCTAAGTACTTCGTTCACGAATCATACCCAACTTTTCCCGACGGTAAAAAGTCAGTCAGTATATTTATTTTTTATTCAATTCAATATATTATGTATATCAAAAAAATTATAAAAATCTTTGAGAAAATTAAAATGTTTTAAAAACATGTTATTCTGTGAAGAGCAGCATGACCGACTGACTATAGATTTTCAGAAATGTGTGTAGGCCCATACGCAATATTGTTTTCTATTATATACTTACTTTCTAATTAAAGTTTTACTTTATTTCAGGGCTGCTAGACAAGCAGCAGTTTCGATACCAACGCCTGGAAAAGTACATCATTGGGATCATCATTACTAGTCTGTTGCTAAGCATCTCACTTAGCAAATGTAAAATAAACCTTTAATATAGATGTTACATAGTTAGTTGACTTTTTTTTACAATTATTGACAGAGCATATAAAATATTTCAAATACCGAGATGAAAACACTACTTTTTTTACTACATAGTAGGACTATTTTGCCGCCAAAAAGCATTGCCTACACTTTTGTGTTCCGGTCTGAGTGTATAATACAGCTGGAATAATTAAAGGCTGTAAAGGTATTCCATCTTAATCCTCAGGGGTGAGAAAGCATCTAATTACCTTTCTCGATTGTTATTGTACATGGTAAAACTGTTGGTCCTGCCTTTGATTTCTTCAGTATTGTCCGATTGCCGTCCCATCGGACTAAAAGAGTGCACCTGTGCACTATATAGGCTAGTTTCTGTTACGACAGGCCTCTGTGACTGAATTTTAGTCTAGAAGACATTATTACTCCAAACACTTGTGTAATAGCTTTACAAAAAAATATTTCAAAATAGATGAGGAAATAATTATACAAGATATTTCACAATGCACCTGTGCACTATATAGGCTAGTTTCTGTTACGACTGGCCTCTGTGACTGAATTTTAGTTTAGAAGACATTATTACTCGGGACACTTGTCTAATAGCTTTACAAAAAAATATTTCAAAATTGACGAGGAAATAATTATACAAGATATTTCACAATGCACCTGTGCACTATATAGGCTAGTTTCTGTTACGACTGGCCTCTGTGACTGAATTTTAGTTTAGAAGACATTATTACTCGGGACACTTGTCTAATAGCTTTACAAAAAAATATTTCAAAATTGACGAGGAAATAATTATACAAGATATTTCACAATGCACCTGTGCACTATATAGGCTAGTTTCTGTTACTCGGAACACTTGTCTAATAGCTTTACAAAAAATATTTCAAAATAGACGAGGAAATAATTATACAAGATATTTCACAATACGTGTGCACTATGTCGGCTAGTTTTTCTTTTTTTATAGGTGAGGGAGCAAACGAGCATGCGGCTCACCTGATGGTAAGTGACTACCGCCGCCCATGGACAACTGCAACACCAGGGAGGGAATTGCAGATGCGTTGCCGGCCTTTTAAAAAGGAGTACGCTCTTTTCTTGAAGGTCCCTAAGTCGTATCGGTCCGGAAAAATCGCTGATGGTAATCGGTTCCACAAGGAAGTCGACTAGTTTCTTAGTTTCGTAGTTTCTGTTACGACTGGCCTCTGTACTGAACCTTAGTCTAGATGACATTATTACTCTGAACACCTGTCTAATAGCTTTACAAAAAAATATTTCAATATAGACGAGGAAATAATTAAACAAGATATTTCACAATTCGTATATTTTTTTACAAAAGTTAAAAAACAACAGCAAAACAAAAACAAACCAATAGAAGATTACTTAAATTAAAAATAAAAAAAAAACCCAGAACAAAAAGAGCTGATTATCAAACGGCAAAAAGACCAAACGGCTGAACAGAAAACTTAATTAAAATCGGTTCATCCGTTCAGGAGGTATAATGCCACAGACAGACAGACAGATACACAAAAGATACACACTACAAACTTATAACACTCCTCTGTTTTAATCGGGGGTTAAAAATAGTATACACAGCATCAACGTAAATTTCGGTATCTCCTTACATTAATCAAGCCAAATACTCTTCTTTTAAACAAGTAAAATGTTTTATTTAGTTTTCGTTACTTTCTTTTCGATAAGTTTTATTTACTTTCGAAAGACCATATCCCGCAAAAAAAAAATTAAAAAGTTAATCAGTTGGTTAAAAAAATCCAATTTATCTACTCAATCTAAAGGTGCCCATTGATGATATGTCCATCAATCCAAATAGAGTGGACGTCTTCCAAAATCGTTTCGTGAATGTAAAAAATGTATGCAATTTGAATGGACGTCGTCCAGTTTTGGATTTCTAAACGTTTAATTCCCATGCATCCAAGCCAAATGTACGTCTTTCGCGGCAGACTGTCAATGTCAAAAACGAGCGCCACGTAGTGTTGCCGTTTGGACAATCTAGTTTGTGGCTAAATAGAATAAAAAAGTGGCCAGCTTTTAAAAAAAATCGTAATCGAAAAGTAGCTAGAAGTGGCTAATATCACAATATCCTTTGCCTACTTTAATATTCTATATTGATAATTAAATAATATACAAGGTTAGGGATAAGTGGGTTTGTTTAAAGCCGGATCTAATTAAGTATTTATTAAAACTAACAATAATGTTTGTACGTATCTACAATTAAAATTTAGTAACTAATTGAATTATTTGAAAAAACAAAAAAATTAATAATCAATTTGTAGGTCTGCAATGTCATCTGGTAATTCTATAACCTCTTCGTCAATGGGTGATGATGATGTAGATGGTGTTACGATTTGTTTTAAAGGTTTGACAGTTTTTTTTTAATTTTTTTTAAAACCTCAGGCGGCAAAACATAGTTGTGACAATTTTTCTTCTTTATTTTTAATTGATTTCTAATCATTATTATAGAATTGAGTGTCAATGAACACATTCTATTTCTCAATTTATTTTTTACAGTGTTCATCACGCTGAACAGCCTTTCTACTTCCGCATTAGAGTGAGGAAGGGACATTGCAGCAATAGCCAAGTCAGCTAGTTCTCGAAATGTATTAACTCCTGCTGCATTCTTGTATTTTAAGACTTGCGCCCAGAATTTAACACTGTCTCCTGCAGTTTCCCATTCTATGAATTGTATAGTTTTCCATTGTTGAACAATTATATCTGTTTTTTGGTCATCGAATCCCAATTGTCTTGCTAATCCAACCAGTGCATGAGGATCCTTGATCTGTTTTAATGTGTTCTCTGGACTTAAGAGTGTTACTTTTGCTAGGATCTCGTAATTAGAAGGTATTCTGTTCTGAATTTCTTGTACCAACTTGACACTGAAGTCGATGCATCGTTTTTTGATATTAGAAATTGCTTGCGGAGATAAGTTGCTATTACTGGCATGAGATTCGAAGAGATGTTCCAAATGTGCAACTTGATCTAGATGATCTTCTACTTTGATAGTGAGGAAATCTTTGTCTGTTGTCGCGGCGCCTGGTATTATTATTCTAACGCAGACAGATCGTAACAAGGTCATCAGAGTTTCTAACAGTTTGACAGGATCAATATTTTCACCTTCAAATACCTTAATGCCAATTTGAATGTCGTTAATATACGTCGGTACTATATGAGTGGAGTTGCGGAAACCCCGATCATAGATTACAACTGCGGCGCGGAGAGTGAGCGGACCGCGGTAGAGTTGCCTTCTCAGCAAAAGGCGGTAACCACATGTTTCTTTAAAAGAACTTAGTAGCTAACAAAAATTACCAGAAGTAGTTAGAAGTAGCTAGATTCGTTTTGGTGGCTAAAATTGATTTTTTTTTGGCTAAAACCTTTGAAAATCCGCTAGATCTAGCCACAAAGTGGCTAAAACGGCAACACTGGCGCCACGGCATTTGGAAGCCGTCCGAATTGTCTGTGAGTGGGCAAAACCACGTCTATTTTTTTTTTTGTGATTTTTGTCTCAGTTTGTGCTCTGGTATTGACGGCGGTACATGTGCTGGATCATAGGAGCTCTGTGGCTGAGTATATGAAACGTTTAAACAAACTTCTCCGGATTTAAATTATATGTTATTATATCTACGTCTGCACGTGCTTTGTATTAGAAGCAATTGAAAAATATAAATCGCATCCATGTTTATTATAGCTAGAGAAACATCCTTATTATCACGACAGGGAATAGAGAAATGCAATGCATGTTTTGTTGGCGCTGTTTGTTTTAAACTTTCCAACCACCCTGGCTCTTACGTTTTTTTTTATCTTTTATCGAAATACACACTGCTGTTGCCACCATTAAAAAATCAGCAATGTAAATGAACATCATGTCCAAATAGAAGTATAGTCAATGTGCCTTTAATCTGGAGTACTTCCATTAGGAAGTATTCCATTTAGAAGCATTCCAAACAGACGTATCATCAATGGGCACCTTAACAAGCATGGCTTTAACCGGCGAGTTTTCAAAATACCTAAACACAATGTAAAACTACAAAATATCAAACGCAATAAGAAACTTGTAGTTATTTACCATTACGATTTTACAGAATATAATATTAGGTTATTATTATTAAAAAAAAGCGACTGTTTATTTTTCAGCCCACAAAAATTAAAATAGCGTAACTCGATCGTTGTTTTAAACAACAACGTGATTGTTGTTGTGTTACTTTTTTATTAAAGACGTTTTTTGAGATTTCTAAATCTTAAAAATGTATCAATATAATTTAAGTAATTTTGTGGAATAGTTCTGAGTTTTGCAGAAAATTTGGTATATTATCTGTGACGCCCATACAACACAAATTAATAATTTCTACTGTTAATGTGCATGCTTGCCTTACTAAAACATATAAATGTTAAACTTCGTTTCTGTTTCTAAAGAGAAAGAGTATAAAAATGTAATTTAGTATCAGTTTCTTCGTAAATAAAAAGGCGAACAAAATTGCAGTCAATAATTCTGACAATCGAAAAGAAGGACTACTAAGCTGATATTATAACCTGTGGAAAGTATTACAATCGAATAAAAGAAGAAGCAATATCTTGTAGCCGAATAGATGGTGAAATCAGCATACTTTATAAACATTACATTGGTTGTGGTAATGGTGAATCGAGAGTATTATCACAATCGTTAAAAACATAGACTTATTAGATGAGGCTACCACAAGAGTAAATAAAACCACCACAACAGTAATGGCTACCATAACAGTTAATAAAGTAAAAATTAGTAAAATGCCCCTGTTAAAACTAATACTAAATTGCTCAGATATCATAAGTCGTACCTAAGTATACTTTTTTATTAATTCAATGATATACATTTGTTATTACTTATACCCTTGAATACTAAACTGGAGGAAACTATTTTAACGGATTTCATAGCATTAGTTACAGTCAGTGAGAGCTGCAAGCAAACTTCAGGAAGTTCAA